CCTGTACTTCTGTAGCCTCAGCACACCTAACAAAGTGCCATTGACACCAATTTCGAGGGCTGGATTGCAGCCAGGTTTTTAAAGTGGCAGTAGCTTGGCAGTGGCCCTGCAGTGGGGAGCGCTACTGTGTACTGCTTGCGATCTGCGTGGGATGTGGCGCTTGCTCTTCTCTTCAATACTTCCCTCCCCATGCAAACAAATCTTCCTTACACCAATGCTGTGTGTCCAGGATTGTCTAGAAGGCATTAAGAATGTCACCTGTTCAACCTGGGCACCTAGGTAGTCTCAGTGGAAGATTCAAATTAGAGAGCTACCTCCTCTATTTACACAAGTGTGTGTGTTAATCAGCTTTCTCAAATTGGAGCAGGTGTCTGTGGTACCAGACAGCAGGTAAAATGATGTTGCTGGATGAGTTCTGGGACAAACTATTGTAGTAACTTATTTAATACAACTCCAATGGAGCCAGTTTTGTTTGTTTTGGAGAGGTACAAACCTGTGAGAAACAAATAAACCTTCTTTCTATCACTGGTCCATTGTGCAGGTCAGAACTTTTCTAGTTTTCTGGTTTTTAGAAGGTTGAATCTGTTATTACCATTGTTTTCTGAGTTGTGAATGGAAATCTCAACCTTAAGGCTTGTGGTCTGTCTCCATGAAAGGAGAAAGGAGCTGCCGAGCATCTTTTGCATGCAGAGGATACTGATATGGTTGAGGTGAATAACTTTAAAGGCTTCTTCAAATTTTGGAGAGTGGGTCTGCATAAACCATCTCATGCAGAGTGCAGCTTGCACAAGCTGTGTTCTTATGCAATTAGGGAGAAGTTCATGGGGCTTGAGAACTTGATGGTGACAGAGGTGACTGACTGATCTCTGGTTACATTCTTAATCCCTGAGTGGGAGGAAGCTGGCACCTGTTCTGCATGGAGGAGTGGTGTGTCTGTGCTGGGCTGTAACTGCAGGCTCAGAGCTGAGCAGTGATTGCTGTATCAACAGCACCTGTGCTTGTTTGCTGGGCTTAGTGCTTATTTTCATGCATCAGGAGGTTGCAATCAATTCCAAAAATATCAAGAGTACAGTTTTAGCCCATTAGTCAGATCAGGAGTGGATGCATACTTTGAAGAAATTGCTTAAGGGGTAGAAAAGTATTTAAAAGTATCGATCCTGTGATCACTGTGAAGAATTGACATCAGCAAGGCTTTTCCTGCTCAGTGAAACAAAACAAGTCAAAATTTCCAGACTTCTGGCTTTCCCACTGATGTCTGAAAGCAAACAACCTTCTTGTGGGCGCAAAGATAGAGCTGTGCTGAGAGCAGAGGTGTCCTGTGACTTTAAGACTGGGCAGCAATGGAGAGCTTTGGTGGATGCTACTTCAGAGATATGGAATGATTAATGCAGGCATCTGAGAACACTTAGCTTTTGGTGTTGTATCTGTTATTTCATTTATGGAGCTGTTAATATCTCATCAGGCCATATCTCAATGATTAAGAAGAGTCTGTTTTATCAGTAACTAGGGAGAAATGCAATTATCTTTAAGTGGTGGAACTCCTGTACTAACTGGATGTATTAGATGGCTTTAATATCTCAGCTGAAGGCTGGCTGGGAGGTGCTGAAGCTCTGGAGCCTGGTGTAGGGTTAATACAGGACCGATGTGGTGAGGGCAGAGAGATGGGGGGTGGCAGAGCTATGGGACACAGCAGTATAGGCATGAGTGGGAGAGACAGGCTGCAGATGAGGAAAGAAAAAATCTGGTCCTCCCACACTAAGCCCCTGAGCTGATAGCAAATTCTGTCCAGGAGCAACCGGTGTCATCTCCTGTGGGCCTGCAAATAGTAGAGTCCTGCAGGCCTGCAGCAGTGGGATGGGTGCTCCTTTCCTCTCCCTGCAGCTGAAACTTCCAGTGTTTGTCAGCACCACACACCATTGCTCAGAATGAATTAAGTCGCTTGCATAGACAGACTTCAGTTTTAAGCAGAATAAACCCAGCCATGCCCTACCCTCATGTTCATGACTGGGTTTATTCTATTTGAGATCTTTATTCATTCTTCCATCATACAAGGCGTTTTCTCTCCCTATCAGCACTTCTACACCAGCAGTAGAGCTGAGAATTAGAAGCAGAGTGGAGTGGAAAAAAAGACAGTTGTTAAAGCTTGCTACATCTCCAGTGGGGAGGGCTGCTGTTCAATTCAAAAAGCCTGGTAAGGAAGCTAATTGCTGAGAACAGTGGGATCTTCCAAAGCTCTAATTAGAGGTGATTTTAGATCTCTGCAAGAGCAGGAAACCTCTGTTGCTCACATACCAGTGAGCAAGACCACCTTACAGCTGCAAGTGCAGCTGGCCTCTTCTAGCAATGGGCATGGCTCTGCTGAGCAAATGAGGAGTTCAATGGACAGGAACTGGGTAAAAAACTTGGCTGTGATTCCTCCTGCACCCCTGCAGTGTGGCTGGGATATTTCTGAGCGTGAAGTGGCACAAAGCTTGAGCACAGTGCTGGATAAAGTCAGCAGGATTGAAACCCAGCCCAGAACATCGGTGTGTGCTTGAAGCACAGGGTTACAGTCTGGCTGCATTGGAGAGTATCGGTAGTTCAGTATCCAGAATAAGCTTCATCTGAACAACTTAATTTTTAACTCTGTGCTTTCTATCTTGCTTCATTTCTGGTGAGATGCCTACTGAAAGCAGCCAAAGACTACACCTAGCACCATTTGCCTGCGAGTGGGCACAAACAAATGAGTCTGTGGCCATGTGGGAGCCAGAGGGAGTTCTGCCACAGAGTTTAACTGGCACTAAAAGAATCCCTGTAGAATTGCATTTCTGCTATTGCACTGTAATCTCTCTGCCGTAGACCTCTAGTTTAAATGCACATTAAAGACTGGGGTCAGGCCACCTGGCAGTGAGTTAATGGGCTGTGGAGTGGCTGCTGCTGTGCTGCCTCCCCTCCATTAAGAGGCAATGTTGCTGAAAGTGGTTGGTGTGCCCCAATTAATGGGGCTTATGGCTTGCCCCTACACAAGGGAGGATGCTTGTTGCATTTCAACAAGATATTAACCCAAGAGGCACTGCAGAGCCTCTATATCCAAAAGGGAGACTGAATTGGAATGGAAAATCCTGGTCTGCCCTTATGGATTGCTTTGGGGAATCATGGACCCCTGTCCCATTTCTGCATGGGACACTGCTCCTGCCTTACCCCAGAGAGTATTACAGACATCAGTATGCACATCTGTAACCTCTGGATGAACATGCAAAACCCAGGAAGCTCCTTTTTACCAACATCCTTTTGCTGGCAAAGCATGCACCATCTGGTTGCTGGTATAACTATATACCAAACAATTCTTAATACAAAGAAGAAAAACGTTGAGTCTCTGAACACATGCATTACTCCAGCCTGCTTAGTTACTTCCAGCTTTTGTAGCAGCCTGCAAGGCTCAGTGCTATCCAGCACCCTGATGCTTGGCATGCAAAGAGGCACAGAGAGAGTGATTTCTCTGGCTCACTGAAAAGAGTAAAAAAAAGATGGAAATTAGAGACATTTACCAGCTGTAGTAGTGGGAAGGGTGCTGAGGCCTTCTGCTTTCCTTTCCCATCGTTGTGCTGCTTTTCTCTCTGGGGCCCCATGTTGCAAATCCTACACTCCCATCTGGAGAGCACTGGCTGCAAGCTCCCTCCAGAGCCCGTTGACGCAATCTGGGTCATTCGGGGAAGGTTGTTGGAAAGGATCCTGCGCATCCCTGTGGTGCTGGTGCTGGGATTTGCCTTCCATGATGTGTGAGGAGCCGGGCTGGTCCCATCCCAAACCCAGCTCTCTCAGCCTGCTGCAGCTCTGGACTCCCACAGTGTCCGCTGGGAGGCCAGCTGAGAAGTGGAAGTGATGACCCCACTCCAGGGACATAGGAGGTACCTTGTGGGATCCACCTAAGTGCTATTTTTTTTTTTTTTTTTGATGGAGAGAAGTCAATGGCTGAAGCTACTGCAGTAGCACTGGAGGAGCGGAGCCTGGTGCCCCTGTCCAGGAGCTGCCAGTGAATAAGGGGATTTCTAAAAGGCGGTGACTCCCTCCTAGGGAAAGCAGGATTTCTTGAGGTGGGACTGAGTGGATTACTATTACTGCTAGGAGCTAATCTGTACAGCTGCTTTGTGGGATTCCCTAGTGCCTGCATTTGGTACTTGGCAACAGAGGATAAATGTGCAGAGAATTTCTGATTTCAGAAAGGCTACGCAAAAGCTTGTGCATGCAGAGGTGCACAGCAAGAGACATCAGCTTGTCTTCTAGCTGTGTGTGCAACAATCTCTTGCATTCCAACCACTGGTTTAGCACTGAGGGACCAAACAAGCACCATAGCTCAGTGGTACCTTGCTGTGTTTTTACACATTAAGTTAGTGTACCCAATATTATTTGCAATGTACTGCTTGCAACAGATCTAACTCCAGAGCTGTTGCTGAGATGCTTGTCAGCCTCCTGCTCACCACCATATTCCCATGCAGAGGCAGCTGCTCCTCCAGCCCCACGCAGTCCCCAGCCCACATTCAGTCCCCATTCTCTGAGCAGCTTGAGGGCCACCATTGCTGGTGCTGCTCCACTATCCTGTGTGCTGCTTCCAGCCTCAGTGCATTCAGGAGTATTTTGCTTATTATGTGAGAGGCCCAGAGCGTTTTCTAGCAATAATGTTACAACATGCGTTGCTAAAATATTACCATAAACCTTTAACTACGTCATGAATGCTAACAGCTGCAGCTTCCTCAGCTGAACAAGTGCAACTTGCATCTTTTAGCAGCTCTTGAGCTAGTTTGCATATAAACATCCTTCAGTCCCTTGGCCACCCGGCTCGTGCCTCTGCCTGGCAGGCAAAAGTGCTCCAGGAAATCCTTTTGGGAGCCTCACTTAACAACCAAGCCTGAGTTCACTCTAGCTTTAACTACCCCCATGTGGCTCTGCCCAGTATCCTGCCTGCCTGCCTGGTCCCCACCTCTGATACCCCACAGCAGTTACTTGGCTGTGCCCACCTTTACCTTGCCAGCAGCAGTGCCTAAAATGCAGATCTCAATGTGGTTGGAACACTTTCCCCATCATCTATGCGCTCCTGTGATTTCCACCCCTTCCACGGAGCACTTGGTGTGTTACTTCTCCCTGCTCTTGCTGTTCCTGGGTTGTTTGAAATGCTTTGTATTTCAGAAGTAATGCCAGTGTTCAGTGATTTCTCAGCATCAATCCATCAGAAGGAAGCAGGTGAGCAGGCTGTCTGGATGAACCCAGCCTTGAGAAGCAGTTTCTTCTGCCGATGCTCCTTGGTACTCCTGTGCTTACAGGTGTTCCTCTTTCCACCTGCTCTGCTTGGGCTTCTTGTATGCCCCCAGGGCATGGTGCTCACTGCAGGCAATGCCTTTGCTCTCACTTCTTTCTTGAAAGAAAACTGCAGGAATTGGGCAGAAAATCCAGTTTGCAGCAGCGTCTGGTGGTGGGGCAGCCCTGTTCCTGCCCTGATATCTTCTTGTGGTTCCACTTTTACTCTCAGAAATGCCAGGGCTGTGATGGAGCTGCTGTGTGGCTTCCACTCCCGTGCTTGCTCAACCCTATGTATTCTTCCCTGTGTGACACTGGGGGCTTTCCAGCCCTCCCCTCTGTCACCTCCATCCGGACTGCTCTGCCTTTGGATGGTGTTTGCTTTTCTGAGCCAGGTGAGCGCCAGAGCAGCTCACTCACCTCGCGCTGCTCTCCCTCTTGATGCACTTGCTGTTTGCTCCTACAACAGGAATGAAAGCTGCTTTTCTTGGCAGAAGGAATGCACGATCTGCAGTTGAGATAGAATCTTTTTCCCTCTGTTTGTTACACGAGGTCTCATGAATTAAGAAGCTCCAGCCCGTCTAGACCTCATACCAGTCAGTCTGATTCATCAGCGAATCTCCTTGGAAACTCGCTGTTCCTCTCTGATTTGTTACAAACATCTCTCCCAATTTAAAGATGAAATGCAGTAAAAGCAGAAAGAGGAGCTGTACCATGTAGACACCTCATACAGAACCACATGCCTTGTGCACAGCTGCACTGATGTATGTGGGAAGCAGCCTCTCCATGCTGTGGCACAGGTGGGAAGGGACTGCCCTGTCCTTGTTGGGAATCTTTCTCTCAGGACAGGGTGACTGCGCAGGAAGATGGTCCTAAATGAGTGCCACCAGACTGCCTCCAGTCCCTTTTACAGGGTAAATCGGGACTCAAAACAAACTCCTTTTGTTTCTGTGAGACAGATCTGTGGCATCTCTCATGTCTGGGGAGAAGTGCCCCAGGATCATACCCTCTGTTCCAGCCATGCTCAGATTTGTCTGAAGTCTTGGCTATGAATGCACTGCCCCTGTGAGCCCTGTCTCAAGTACTCAAAGCTTGATTTGCTGAGTAATCTGGGCTGCAGTGAGCAGCTGCTGATAAATGAGGGTTCAGGCAATCAAGCTCATTTCCAATGCAATTAATCCATGTCAGGAACATGACCTCTTTCTGGCTAATTGAAGTTTTTGCAGATAGTCTAAGTGATGGTAATAAAGGGCTGACTCCCAGAATGGGGGAGCCCTTGGGTGGGGGGTGACACCTGTTTGCCCTGCTCCCATGAGGCTGAAATGATACAGGAGGCTGGGCATCCCACTGTGTCCCCGGTTTGTCACCTAGCCCAAAGTGAAATACAGGGGGAAGCCTTTCCTCCAACTCCTTTCCACCTTTTCACTTTCTATGTGGAGCTTAAAGGAAAGAGCAAAGCTGTGATGCTGTCAGATCTCAGTGCTGGTGTCTGTTGGCAGGAGGGAGGAGAAACGGAAGGGGCAGCATCAGCAGGGTGTGCTGTGGTAGAAGGAACCAGCATGGGAACTGTGCTCTGTTCTGCACAGCCTCAGCAACTAATTTTTATGAATTAGACCTTTTGAGATAAAGGCTTTGTTACTGCCAAACAATGAGCTCTCCACACTCTCAGTACTACCAACTGGTTTCATTTGTACTGGGAAGATACAGGCTTACTGTTTTTAGTCTGTTTCTGTAGCACCAAAAATTATTAATGTGATAATCAGTGTAAATGAGAGCACAGAGACTTGCAGTGCTCTCAACAGGTGATGGTGACAGCTGTAATGCTGCTGGAGGTCTGTGGGCTGTGCATGGGTGATAAGGTGTAGGAGTGACACCTGCAGCCCTGGCCCAGCCCTTCCTTGTGTATTTCTCTGTGCCTGACACTGCTCTGTCACATTAGCAGAGGGCTTCTCCCTCTTGCAGCCTCTCACAAGTTGCTACCGAGCAGTTTGGCTATTAAATGAAGTTGCTTTAACATATGCAATCTGCACAACCTACATTTGTGTGCTGCAATCAAGGGTTTCTGTGCCTGGGGAGGGGGCTGGAGGCAGGGCTGTGGTGATGTGTGCTCTGTGGTGTTCACGCATCAGGAAATTGTTTACATTACAGAGCAATTATCATGGTTTAAAATTCCAATAGTCTTTTGAAGGTGTTTGTGCCATGGGGCTTCCATTTGCTGAGAGGTTTTTATTGCACCAACTTGCCTAATGACATCACTGTTTGAACCAGATTGAGGTGTTTCAGAAGCCAGTTTGTGATCTTTGTTGGAAAACGCTTCATTGCAGGCTGCTATACTGAAGTCCCTTTATGCTCTGTGCAGGTTTAATTGGGTAGAGCCCCATACATTGTTTTCTACTCCCCTTCTTAATTGTTGGCAGCATGGCACTCAGAGCACAGCACATCACTGCTCTATGACCAAGCCCAGCAGCCTCTCCAGGAGCATCAGTCACTTCTGCAGGACATTTTCTCCCACTGGCTTGAGTGGGAGGGGTGAATGATGTCCATAAGCTGCTCCTGCTGTTGGATGTGCTGATGGAGATGCTGGTGTTTGGGGGTACTGTGCAAGGTGAAGGCACTGCTGCTCCCTGGGACCCATTGGCAGTGCTGAGAGTGGGTTCCAGTTACTGTCTCAGCCCCAGTGTAGCCCAGGAGGGCTGAGAAGTGAATTGTGAGGGGGTGGTTCAGACATCATTCAGTAAGGCAGGAAATTCCTATAGAGAGCAATCATAGAATCATTAAGGCTGGAAAAGACCACTAAGATGATCTAGTCCAATGGCCAACCCACCCTCACCGTGCCTCCTAACTGTGTCACTCAGGGCCGCATTTCTACAGTTCATGAGCACCTCCAGACCCAGCAGTGCAATGCTTTGTAGGACAGCTATAGTTCCTTTAAACAAGATCATGAGATCTATCATGACACAATTTATTGTGTACAGAACACATATCAAAGTGCCCATAATTACCATAGTAACCACGATCACAGCTTTCCTATGTAGGATTTCTACTGTTGGATTATCACATCAGCGATAGTATCCCATCCATGCTCATCCTAGCATAAAGCCCACACTCTTCTGGCAGTCAGTTTTGTTTCTAGGTGTCACTTCTTGACATATGAACACTCACCAAACCTTGATTAATCTTGTAACATATTCTTCACTGTACATATGATTCTGTGATGTCGTTAAGGTCATGTGGAATTCTGTTTGCAATCCCTTTTATAAATAATAATACAAAACACTTGCTGCTAAATCTAGCTGTCAGAAAGCAAATGCCAAGGAGCAAAATGATTATTACTGTTATTTGCTCTATTCCAAAATCCATTAATTTGCTTGTTGTGATGTCAAGTAATGAGCATTTCTGCAGCAAGGTCACCATTCTATTTACTTCACCACTATCTCATCTCTTGTCCAGTAATCAGAGCCTATTTCTTGCACAGGGCAATATATTTTATCAAAATTTTCCTTTGTTTTCTTACAGATTGTCTGTATGACTATAAAGATTGACTGTGTGACATCACTTTTTAAATTCAGTGCATAATTATAAAATAAAAAATGGAAAAATATATATTGCTACCTTTAATACACCTCATTTTCTTTGGACAGAAGGACATGCAGCTGTTATTTACATGACCACACATGCTTATCTGAGCTTTGTGGAATTTTGCAGTCTCTGACACGGATACAGACAGTGCAACAATGGAAATAATGTGAAAGAAAATGATTTGGTTCAAGTCAAAAAGACTAATGCAAGTAGTAAAACCAAGAAGAGATGAAAGCAAGAATTACTGAAATAAATATCTGAGATGGAACCTGCAGGAAAGGTTCACTGCAGCTGCAGGTGTGCTTTGCTGAGTGTCAGCTGGGTTAATTTGCAAGGTAGTGTCTTAAGAACAAGTGATGCTGAGGGAAAGATCTTGTGTCCTTGGGCTGGGTCTGCTTATGAGCTGAGCCCCCCCAGGTACCCTCGGAGCATTCCTGATTTACTGCAGCAGTGACTTTGGCATCTGTGTTCGAGGGTTGTTACACAAACCTGGCCCCCCAGCTAGTAGCACAAGTGCAGCTTGGACTGAATGACTGTGCAGTGCTTCGTCTGCTTGAGCAGCTCTGGCCTCACCACTGGCACTTCCTCTGGGCCACATTCTCCCCGTGTTGGCTGTCCTCACCTTTCTTGGTGGGCTTCTCAGCCCTCCTGCCCAGGGGCCAGGAGGTGAGCGCTGCTCTTCCATGCAGATAGAAAACCTGGGTGATGCAAAGTGCTTGGCTCAAGGTCATTATGTGCAGCTTTGAAATCACTTGATAAACACTTCATTCCAGCAAATAACATGCTTTGGGCTGTGATCTTATCCTGTAAATAAATCTGAGATATGTTCCTCCTCTTTCGTTCTAGTCTGGTAGTGTATTTTGCCCACACTAAATAAGAAGTAGAAAATCATTAACTTTTCCTTCTGATATATGTTTTCAATTTCTTCATTCATAATGAGTTCATTGCTGCAGCAGCGAGGGTGAAATATGTTGTACTACTGGAATTCCTTTGCAATTCAGCATTAATTAATGTCCACTTCTAATACAGTGTTAACAGTAATGAGTCTAATCTTTCAGAGACCCCTGTGAGAAATTCTGCTTTTTTTTTTTTTTTTTAGTCAGTTGTCAGAAATACAGTGAAAATTATGTCTTAGCCTTTCTTTAAAGCTTCTTAGGGATTTTGAAAGGCTGCAGGATAGTTAAGCACAGTGGCCTTGTTCTCTGACCCTATGCTGTGTAATGAGATTCTGGTCTATCTTGCCAGAATTAGCTCCATCCTGGTGCACAATACTACTGAACTTGTGTGCAACCTCAGTTTTGGAGGTTTTCTTGGACTGCTGGACAAGCTGCTGTGGGAGCCCAGTGGAAACAGCAGTATGTGCTGTATTGCAGGGGGCTGAGCCAGTCTTATGGTTTCGGGGGAGGGCTGTGCATCCATCCTGTTTCACTGACCTTCCATCAGTGAAGTTTCTTGCTTTTGTTTCTGTATCCAACTTGGAACATGTGTAGAAATTTCAGTCAGTTAAAACATGAACAATGGAAAAATAGGAATTACTGCACCCTGGGGGCAATGATGTAATCCTCTGTATATGGGATTGAACTTGCTAGGACTGCAAAGGAATAAGTACAAACTCAATGGGCAGCACAGGTGCCATGACATTGAGTTAATAGCACACCATAGTACTTCAAAATGGACTTTGTGGAAAACTTGAAATTTCTTTGCTACGCTCACAGACAAATGTAGCCCTGTTTAATGATTATTTTTTTTTTTTTTCACCAAAGCTTCCACTGCATCTGTCTGTGCTGAATTAATATGCAGAAGTTTATATGAAATGATTTGCTTAGAGGCCTTAATGAATTTGGTTATCAGAGAGGCCTTTCTAATAAAGATAATAGACGTCAGCAGAGCTGGCAGCATTTTTACTGAGGCAATTTTTCATTGAGTCTGGAGTAAATGTTCTCTGATAAATCTTGTCAGTGCTGTCGCTCTCAGTCTAATGGCAGAAATAGCCTTTTAGCTCACACAACAGCAGAG